CACAGAAGAAGTTGAACATGAATATTCGAATGCATATGACGGACCACAACCTTATAATTATGAGCCTGCTAGGCGTCCGAGAGACCAGGAGCAGCCAAGGATTAGAAGAAATAACGGCCATCGGAGAGAAATTGAGCTGTGGTTTGAGGAGAACCAGTGGAGAACTGGGCAGCTATCTTGGTGAGTGACCGGCGTTAGCTACAGAATGTTAGCCAACGTCACATCACAACATTGTAAAGTTAGCTATCATATATCAGGCAATAACTAAAGTAGCATTGATAATATATTAACGTTACTGGCAGGACTGTTGATGTTGATACTGATCCATAACAGAACTAATGCGCAAGTACAGTATCAGCCGTATCTCGCGTTACCTAATGCAATTCCACACTACGGTGCTGTGTACCGGAGGGGATACGGCTGATACTTGACGATCTGGCGGAGAAAGGTTGTGGAGCCTCCGTTGATATGTCGTTGTAAATGGCTTGATGGAAAGCAGGTGTGTAGTCGGGGAGGGTGCACAGCTGATTGCAGCAGGTGAGTGGAGGTTGAGCCGGGAGCCAGGAGTGACAGCCACCACGCACACACAAACAACACAGTACCGGAGAGGGGAGAGAGAGAGAGCAGCGAAGGGGGCGGGAGATAGAAGTAATACGGTTTCCTGATAAAGCTGTGGAGAGTATGTGCTGCAGGGAGGTGGATGCACAACGCACCCAGGAACGAACGCTAGCTCCGGTCCTTTTTACTGTGGACTCGATGTCCTGACAGGCTGGTATTTGTGCAACCTGCACAAACACAATACTGCACCATGATTACAAATGGTGAAATGCAATGTAAAACTACCGAAAAATACCAGCTCCTTACAACACAACCGCTCTACTCAACGCAACTCCACTATACCCGCGGTCAGAGAGCGGAGATGTGTCTCCTGCGTGATGTAATATGACGCGTTTGACGTATGACCTTAAAAAAAAGCCGTTTTTAAGAGCAGAGCTCAAAATTGCTCCTTTCCCTCTGAATTCCTGCCCTTATGTCTCGTAAAACATATCAAATCCTACACTCACTTTTTTAAGTGTAATTTTCAAGCAAGTTTAAGCATAAATGTAGAAAAAATTAAAACCTGCAAGATGCTCTTTAAGAAAGCATCATGTCATGTCTTACCTTCTCAATGAGTGGCTTTACACAATGAAGTGTATCTTGTATATATTGATTCAGCTCTGGGTGACATGACATCTGGAGATAAACACACCAAAAACAGAAGAACATTATTGGGGATCAAATAGGATACAAGCATTCCTACGAACTGTGAGCATGCAGTAATTACAATGATTTTCTTCTGTATACCTGAACTGGTACATTGTATTTCTTCCTCTTCTGAAATATTCCCGATGGATAAACCTCCCGGACATACAGGATGAGATGGATAGCGACCTCCAGGAACTCACACAGGATGTCAGCAACCACTGGAAAAGGGAAACAACCATGCGTTTCATTTGTCCTTGTAAGACCAAACTCAATGCAAATTCCTATCAATTTAGTGTTGCCGCATTAGCTCAGAAGCAACACAGTGCTTAAGCAAGTAAGAGAGACTTTAAAGAAAAACACTGCTGATATGCATTATGCTATACAGCCGAATAATCCAGTATACACCCATAAATCTAAATATATATGTAAATTGATTATCTATTCACTGGCTTTCTCAAAATCCATTGCCAAATATATCACCTGAATTGTGTGGAGGCTTTTGGGCTCTGAGCCACAACTAAAGGACGGATGATTAATTGCTTCATGCCGCCGGTTAATTTGTCTTACCTTGTCCAAAATTGAGGTCCTGTCTTGTTAGAGTTGTCATGTTTTCTATCCCAAAAACTATCAAATGAAACGAAAAGCTAATTGTCTAGCTAGCTATCCATAGCAAAGCGCCAGTGTGTGGAGCTTTCATTATCTCGAGGCTGTTTCTAAGTTGTTAAGATTTCCTTCTGTTGTTTCTGCCCGACCAGACGATGACAACCACTGCGGGGGACGAGGGAAATGTTATTTTCTACGAAGCTTAAAGGAAGGTTAATAATGATTTAAAAGTATGTTGTTAATTCGAACTAAGGATATAATCGATTTCACCACTCGAACGCGGCTTTTTTCCACCTTATTTAAAGCTTGGTCGCGCATTAAATTGACGTCACTCGTTGTTTACAATTGGCTTTCCAGCTACTGGTGACCAGAGGAGGGAGCATAGGGAGGGAGAAGTACTCGTAGAAGTACCAGTGTAGGAATACTTTCTTTAAAGTAAAAGTTCTAAATTAAAAATGTTACTCAAGTAAAAGTACAAAAGTATTAGGATCAAAATATACTTGAAGTACCAAAATAAAAAGTACTCATTCTGCAGATTGGCCCATTTCAGAATGATATGATCTGTTTTGATTATAATTTTTGATGCATTAAAGTGTTCTCAAAGCTGGTAAAGGTGCAGCTAGTTTGAATGACTTTGTATACTGCAGGGTAGATGATGAATTTAATCCAGGTGTAATTAAAGCCTTATTTAAGTGTTGATTATATTTTACATTATTAATCCAAATCAGAATCAGAATCAGAATACCTTTATTAGTCCCACAGAGGGGAAATGTACATTGTCACAGCAGAAAAAGAGCCGAAGACAGCTACATGTTACCTAAGCATGCATAAAAAAAGTACTAAAGGAAAAAAAGAAATTATAATAAAAAAGCATGTAAAAAAGTTACACATTTTACAAAGATAATAAAAAAGTTACACATTTGACAAAAATACACACCCTGTAACAGTTCTGAGGATTTAGCAGCCAGGTATTGCACAGTTTTTAACGGCATATATATATATTGCACATATTGCACAATGCACATAGTTGGCATTTAACAACAAGAGGTGTTAGTCTGTGTTGTTGTGTGTGTGGGGGGTCTACTAGGGGCCGTGCTGGTTATAAAGTAACTAAAGGTATTCAATAAATGTAATGGAGTAAAAGTACACTACACCTCTGAATTGTAGTGGAGTAGAAGTGTCATTACATAGTTTCTACACAAAAAAACGATTAGCATTTAAATTGATTTATAAACCTGTATTATTATTTGATTATTAATGCTTTCATGTGTTCAGCACTTTAATGTAGCAGGTGCAATATATGACTTAGTTACATTCCAGCTCTAGTAGAGTGATTCGCCAACTCCTATCTCTGGTTAATGTCACATGGGTCAGGCACCTTGATCACAGAGGGTATTCAGTAAAGTTACTAGAACTTGAAGGAAACTCAAACAACTCGTTTTTAAAACACAACTAAAGTGTTTTCTTTTCTTTTTTTTGAAACGCCATCCTTAGGCTACTGGACAATTCCTCTGTTTATAATATATTTAATAACTTTTATTATACAGTGTAGTGCTACCAAAAGCCCTAGTTTCTTCACAATAGACTGAGATAGATTCACCAGGTGGAATCATATTAGCGGAAATCAATCGGTTTCACCTTCAAAATAAAGTCATACCATTCTGGAATACGAAGTGGTTTAGCCACATTATAAAGGAGCACCATTATGTATTCTTTTTTATGTATGTTATGTGAGTAAGTATGTAAATACCATAAAAAAACATTGATAGCCCACGTATTTCCAAGAACCCTCTGTTGAATTAAACCCTGCTATGAAGCGTAGTTTTGTTTACTGAACTTAAAGAATATCACAGATAACATTTATAAATTCAATACCGAAAATATTATTTCAGCAGAAAAGTGCAAAACCTCGAACTTATAAATTGCTTTCATCCAAATGCCTATGTGCACTTTGTCTGCTGTCTCGAAGGCTGTCCCTGTATGTAGCAACACTTAGCTTTCCATGCAATTCAAAGTGGTTATGAATTTTGCATTGAACAATAAAAATAGTGCAAAAATAAAATGAACTTTACCCTTACCGTTGTGTGTGTACCCGCACCGCACGAGTAAACGGTCTGCCATGTATGTTAAATATTATATTGTGTTGTTGTAAAACGACTTATTCGTACCCTTATTTTGAAGGATGCAGTATCTACCAGGAAATTGTGTTCTAACTGCGGGTTGCTTAGAGCGCGGCCGGAGAGATTCATGAATACTTTAGCGAAACTCTGCAGACTGAGGGTTACATTGAGTAAGATGAAGAAAGCGCTATTCAGACAATGACGTACACCAACAAAAGGTACGAAACGTGTTTATCTCACCTTTTGTGTACGATATAATGCGCTGTAGACGATATCCCACATTTGTAATTAAACTGGTTTTGCATGCACTGTAGTTAATGTTTTAAGCTAGGCAGACAGGCTAACACTTATTAACGCTTAACACCTTGGAAATGTGGCTTGAAATAGTAAAAATGCACATATACTATCAGAGTTGAGTGTGTCATTAGGCATCCACAACATTTGCGATAGTACTGATACACTTTGGATAACCTAAACTAGTTTTTATTTTTTAAAACAGCTATTTTTCTTTGTATTTTTTCGTGGCAGATTACGTTTGATTGGCCGCTCCCTCGTTTTGGTAATAATACTCTAATTAGCCAGTTAGGCTTTATGAAAAGATTTACTTAAAACGTGATTTGTTTCGGAACTTTCACTATCAATGTCCATGTTAGGGAGAGACAGGCTGAAGTGTTTTTTGTATTACAGTTTTACAGGATTGTGCCAACTTTGATGTAAACATTTACCAGGCCTAACTCTAAATGTCATACCTTAACGTTACTTGGCTGCTGGACTATAGTCAGGTCTCTTTATAGCAGCTGTAAAGCATTATCTTCATGCGTTATCTATAAAACCACGTTGGTGTTCTTCGCAGGTTGTGAATTTGAGTCAGACATGCCTCTTTTAGAATTCTTAGCTGGGAGCATTTCAGGTAAGAAAAACTTGTATTTGTTTTAATTTGTGACAGAAAATACTGGTTGATTGAATATAATATGTATTAAGGAGTGATATTTGCCTGTTGGTTATTATAGGTGCATTGGGACTGGCAGTTGGACATCCAGTGGATACCGTGAAGGTGCATGACACACTGAAACCTATGAACATTACCAAATGTATAAACCTAGTTTTGTAACCTCATGTTTTATTTGTAGGTGCGCTTGCAGGCCCATTCTGCATACAAAGGGATATTTCACTGTATAGCTAAAACATACTCTGCTGAGGGGGTAGGTGTTTTGTCCTTTTAAATTGTTGCACCTTATAGCTCCAGCCTCCATCACAAAATATTAATGCATATTTAACTCTTTTTTTTCCCCTTTATTATATCAGCTCCATGGATTCTTCAAAGGCATGGCATTTCCGGTGATGACCACAGGTATCAACAACTCCATCGTCTTTGGATCATACAGTAATGCCTTAGACTACCTCACTCAGTCTCAGCGCAGCGACCGAAATCAAGGCAAAGAGCCTTCTGCTGCACATGTCCTTGCTGCCGGATGCTTTTCAGGCTTTGTGCAGGTAAGAAGGACTGTCATTCATGGTCTGGTTTCTATCAAAGCACCTTTGTAATTAACATACCCAGATATTACTGGCATGATAGGACCACAAATTCTTCGAAATAGGACATTTCAGGGTTTGAAAACTCTGCATGGTTTAGGCGAATGTCACTAGTTTCTCGTTGCATGTGTGTTTCCCACCTACAGGTGCAGGGAAATAAGACTTTAATTATAAGGTGCTAATGGCCCCTAGAGGTTGCAATGTGTATTGCATCCAACGAAACAAAAAGTCTTGTTGCTAAGAACTAGAATGATCAAGAATGTGACCTGAGCCAGGGGCCCAGGGTCATGAAAATCAAACATGTAGCTTTCATCCATGTACATTTAGTTATTTTCTGTGTGCAGTTGGACAATTTGCATGTCGCTTGGGCCCAGGTAGAGGCTGTGGAAAACATTGAAAAGTTGTCGACTTGCCTTTAACAGAAGGAGGCGCCAAAGCCATTTGAATGATTTCTTAGAGGACCATGCATACTATAATTGAAGGGCAGCCTTTGGGAATAGGGCCATGAGTCTATGCAAACTATTTTATGGCCCAAATTATTATTTGTGACCTGATAGTGGTGAAGGGAAGGTCAGGGGGTTCAACTAAATCATTTGAAATAATCAGTGTTTTATCTGACCACTGGGAGACGTCCAATAGTTTCCAAACCAATATTTATTTTGTATTCAAAGCTGCTAAGAACTATGTCTACTTTCCCTGTGTCTGATCATCTGCCTTCAGGTGTTTGTTTGCGCACCCATCGACCTGGTGAAGGTGCGTCTGCAGGGTCAAACAACAACTGCCCGATACCGTGGCCCTGTTCATTGTGTGGCCACCATCCTGAAGGAGGAGGGTCCCAGGGGTCTGTTCAGAGGAGGGATGGCCCTCGCCATGAGGGACATTCCCTGCTATGGACTCTACTTCCTGCCTTACGAGGTCACGCGAAAGGCTCTGACTGAGAGCGGCAAAGAGCCAGGTGGGTGTCAGAGGTAATAGAGCAACAGTACGACCCTCAGTAAATAAATATGTATCCAGGGCAGTTTATGAAAAATGGAAGGTCACTACTACAAATGGTATATCAAAATGAAGACATGCTAAGCAAAATATCTAACTTTTAAAATCAAAAGGATGAGGAACTGAACTGAACAAAAATATAATTTTTCAAAGTTAAAGATCTCAGCCTTTTCCTAAACACACTAAAGGCTTGTTTCTTTCGGATTTCAGTGATACATTATTCCAAAATGTTGTTCTTAGTCAAGATAATCCATCCACGTGTGACGGCCACACATTGATTTAAGGTGTTTTTTTCAAAACTAGTGGGAGGGGAAAAGTTTTAAGGCATGTTGATTATCATGAAATTAAATGAACTATGTATAATATCCTCGCAACTGCAGTTGTTAATGTCCACTGTTATGAACGGTTTGAGGGTGTGGGTCATTAGGCCTCATCTACATATTCACCTGTCGCGGCGCGACCAGGGCCTTTTTAGTGGGCGCCGGGATGCCAGGGTTTGGCTCTCACGGGAGGAGGAGGAAGTGTGTGTGTGTGTGTGTGTGTGTGTGTGTGTGTGTGTGTGTGTGTGTGTGTGTGTGTGTGTGTGTGTGTGTGTGTGGCGAATGCAGGTATTCAGAGGGATATTTAAGTTTTCCTCAGCATGTGTTTATATATGTTAAAATGCAACGGGGAAAATAACTGAATGTGGATACTGCACGTGCAGTTGATAAATTAACAGTATATCTACTGCTGTTTGCCACAGTTTCCCTTTCCAACAATATATTGATTGAATACAACATTAAAAGATCAGGTCGGGAGATTAGACTGTGAAGTTCCGTAGTTCTCCCTCCCTCCCTCCACGTCTCCTGCACAGCGGTGCGGACATCGGCAGTCACTTCAGACAGACAGGTAGCAGCACCTCCCACTTTACTGTCCAATGTTATGCCGGCTTTTCTTGGCTTATTTTGAAGGTGAGTGGTGATGAACAAATTACTAAACTGCCAGTGCCTCGAGTTTACAGCTAATTAGCTAAAAGAAAATAACAAATAGAGTTAACTAAGGTAGGCTAATAGCTAATGGATAAGTTAGCTCAAGGTTTAGCTAAGGCAATTTATCATGGGTATACAGGCTAATGTAGGCTACTGTAGCCTACTTAAGGGGAGACACTTAAAAGGAATACAGTCAAATGTGTATCTAATAACGTCATCACAATCACCACATTGATATGCAAATTAGGCATTAACTAGGCCTAATTAAAATGCGCTAATTTGCATGCAGTTACCAAGGCATTGCAGGATAAAACAAAAAAAACACATCACCTCACAACTTCCCCAGATAGTTACTTAAGTCAAGTCAGTATTTTCCCCTGAAATGTTATGTAATGTTTAAATATGCAGATTAGCTTGAAATCTAGCCTATAGATGAATTCAGACATGGTAGTAAAACGAACACCATTTATGTATTTCTTGGAAGTTTTATTTCCATTAGAGTGAAAGAAAATATGGAAGCAAAATAGACCAACATTTAAAAAAAAGTTCATGAAAAAATGATATTTTTGCCTGTAAATGTCCTGCCTTAAACAGTAACTTCATAATTTTGATTGTTGGCTGCTCATTTGATAACTATTAATTGTACTAGTTTGTTGTCTGCTCTTGTGCATTGTGAATACTAAAGAAGACCATTGTCTCTGTGTTAGCTGATTATTTTGTAGAATTATGTTGAGCATTAAACAATTGCGTGAGTGTGAGGGTATTAAAATAAATTGGTCAGTAAGTCAGAGATGTGCAACTATATTTAACTTTTTGTTTTAAAACATTTTTTTATAAATGATTAGTGCCCTTTTTCTCACTTGAGTCTGCCCCCCAAAATCTCTGTTCACGTCCCTGTCTCCGTGGAGAGGATGCGCACAGATAGAGAGAGAGATTCTCTCCAACACAGGGTGAGATCGCTCCTTTGTGCCACGCCGATCATCGTGTTTTTCTTTTTGTGGATTATAGCCTAAATAGGCCTACAAACATTAACAGTTTTTTTGTCAATTAGCTATAGTGGCCTGTATTAGGCAGTAAAGAAAATGTCGGTTTATCGCCAAGTAGACTTTTTTTTGAGTTTTGTGTTTTGTTTGGCTGAAAAACTGTGAATATAATTGTCACAGTTTTGAAAATAAAACCTGTCTTTGTTTATCTTGTGAATGTGTGGATATAGACTGTAGTAAATACAATTCCGTGCGGACTATTTGGTGGAAAGAGTAGATTGTCCCTTTATCAGTTCTGTTTGCCTTTAATATATTATTTCATATCAAGAACCCCTTGTGTGTTTATTTAACACAGCTATTTTTGATAGTTGATCGTTACACACGTGACAGGTGTGGTTTATCATGATGCTGATTAAACATGATTATCACACAGTGCACTTTGTGCTGGTCACATAAAAAAGCTATTATTTATTTGTTTTGTCTTGAAAACATTTTTTTTTAAATTAGAACTTCACTTTAGGATTACAGAAATGCATTTCTTATTCACAGATACCTTACAGAATCAGTTTGACCACCATGTGCCTCGTACAGTTTGTAACACACAATTGGCGCACTCCTCTTTAATGGCTGTGTAGGCTACATGTGTGGGGGAAACTTCTGTGTAGCAATGCATTGGGAGTCACCGAATCATGAAGGAGACACAGGGAAAGCAGGAGCTTTGATGTCAAACACTGATGGTTTATTTAGGAGTATCGGCTGGGGGATTCACATCACAAGTCACAGCAGCCAGAGGTTCTGACTGCAGGGGAGAGTTGCCACGTCAATTCTGAAGCACCTCTCTCTGGCTAGACCTTTTAGCAGGTTCACAGAGAGTAATCAACATAGATGGGGAGATAACCTAAACATCTGGGAACACTGAATCACTTGTCTGACCCTTATGGCCTCAAAGATTACACCTTGGAGTCCACAAACACAGAGAAAGAAATGTTCCATTGTTCTCACAACCATAAACCATTTGTGACCGAGAGTTGCCCGGTCATAAACTGGGAACGACAACATATAGCTGGATCAGCCCATTCCTTAAGGGAGATAACAGACGTCAGGGTTGGTCATAACCGTCAAAGGGCAAAAAGGTTGGATATCTAGCAGTAAAGGAGAATTATTCCCTAACAACATGTAGGTACCCACTGACCCAAACATGATAAATAGTTGACATAAAATGCAATGCAAGATCTCGGATGTTTATAGTTTCCAGAAGTGTCCTCTCAAACTGTTTTTTTGAATATGACAATGAGTTCATATACTCAATGGCCTCCAAAGTAAAAATATTGAATTAACAAGTTTCATTCAGCGTTGCGCACTTGATCTTATCTCTTTTTTTTTCTGTCCTCAGGTACATTTGCAATACTGATGGCGGGCGGCGTGGCGGGCGTGGTGACCTGGGCCTTCGCCACGCCCATGGACGTGGTCAAAGCCCGGCTCCAGATGTCGGGGGCCGGCGGGCGGGAGTACAGCGGGGTCCTCCACTGCATGAGAGTGAGCTTCAGAGAGGAGGGAGTGAGGGTCTTCTTCAAAGGCCTTACCCTGAACAGCCTGAGGGCCTTCCCCGTCAACGCTGTCACCTTCCTCACCTACGAGAGTTTCATGAAACTTTTCTATCCCCCGAAGAGATGACCTCTCTAAAAGCCTGAAAACACTCCACCTGAACAAAAAGTGATGAAGATGTTCAGATTGAGCATCCTGTGAATTGAGCTGCCTTAAACGAGGATATCAGATTAAGCTATCATACTTGACAAAATATGAATGTCAACAATGCTGCGGACCGACAAGTGTTTATTTCCAAGCATTTTATTCTTCCGAACTGGACACAAACAGTGAATGATTTTCTAATAAAAACAATACAAAGAATGTAGAGGATTTCTGGTGTCTGGTCCATGGAGTTTGTCCTAAAAACCCCACCAAGAAACAACTAGTGTATACGAACAGGAGTCTCCTTAGGCAGTCTCAACTAATTGTTAATTAATAGTCTCAGTTTCATTTTTGATGTGCTGCTTCCTTTGTCAGCTCTATACACCATAGACATATATTACACCTTTTGCACGGTGGAAATAAGACCACTGAGGTGGGGGTTTTATGTTGCAAATGGTAGATGTTTTTGACAGCCAAGCTAAGTAAGGTCCCTGGTCTTAAAACCATTACCTATAGTCCTATACCATAACCATTTTTGACATCAACAATAGATCAACCACCTGTGTGCTATGTGCAAAGGGTCACTTGTTACAAATTCAGAGAAAATCTACCAACTCCGAGGTAAATTATTTTGGTTTTCTGACCTACAACCTTCACGGTTTAGGTTCACTCTCACCGCTCTCATTGCCATTGATTTCAGCAGGCAGAGTTTTCTTTTAGCAAGAAATCACAACAGTAGTCAAAGTATCAATGAGCTGATGAGCGAACTTGAGCTTTCAGCTGCACAAAAGTCAAATATTTCATTAAGATGCTAGAAGGAAACATAAGCCCCCTTAAATCTGTCAACACATTCGGCCAATAAACATTTTAGGTTATAAAATATGTTTTGCGATAAGAGCTTGTTGTCTCTGGCCAGGACTCTAAAAAGATCATTTTAATCTCATGAGTTAATAAATAAAGTGGTTATTGTAATTATTGGTCAAAATGTTATCTCATAGTTGACACATGAACAAAATGTGTTATCACGTGCAAACGAAAAAGGAAATATGGTAAAAGATAAGTAGCATAATATCCAAAACGAGTTTTAACCATGATACTCCCATGCTTGTAAGTCAAGTATAACAGTTTAGATATATAGAAAATATTATTTCAGTTGTATGGAAGACGACATGTAAGATACATTTTAGATCGTACCAAAAGTTTAAAAACATTGACAAAAAAAGAATTAACTTTTCGTCCGATCTAAATATATATATAAATATATATATAAATGTAGCCCTAGTCCTCTTCCTTACAGTTTAGATTGTTTTAAGAATGATTTTTATTTAGTTTCAATGTCCAACTTTTTCGTTGCTTATGTAGGTTTTACGTTTACGATGCCAAATCAGCACTGCAACATGAGATCACTGTTAATTGCTGACCAAATCAAATGACAAAATGTGCTTAAAAATACTTTTATTTTCTGTAGTGTCCACCAAACATTAATATACAGTTACATAAGTGAATATTTTACATCTTTGATTTGCACACTCAAACAGTTTATAACTGCTCTCTCCTACCTCAACACTTCCACTTCTGAAGCTTTAATGATACAATACTCAAACACATTTTGGACTTACCTCTCCAAACATAATTCCAAAAACTTAATATGGAAAAGAAATGTAGAAAGATACATTTTGAGGGTATAAAAAAAAATATATTTTCTTACACCTGGATTTTAAAGGCACCAAGAAACAAATTGTCAACATTAGAAAGGAAAAAATACATGAAATGAATGAAAATATGTTTAAGTCAGATAACCTTTATAGTAAAAATTAAGAACGGATGCACAACACATCAGAAAAAAAAAAAAAGACAGTTTCTTGAGGCACAAAAGTAGAGCATAATGAAAATGCTCAAACCGTGTAACTGCCAGACTGACAAAGTCGTATCAGGCTACCTTATTTGTCCTACCAAAACACAAAACACACCAAAACACAGACGAGAACCCTGAACCCAACGAGAAGCCTGAACCCAACACCACTTGTGTAGGGGACAAAAAGTTGGGTTTTATTTTTGTTCAGGCGATATCTTGTGCTATTTGTAATAACGACATAGTTAACTGACATCCGGGAACACAGTGATATGGCTTTTAATAGATCCAATGAGGACAGAAGAGCAAACTGTGACTGTGTTATCGCTAATAATAATCCTTCATTGCACAACAGGGCAAACAACTACAGTGGGTCATGGTTGAATCAGGGAGTTGGTCTGTTAACTTCGATGGATAATTAACAGACGGATTGCGTAATATCTTTACAGTGTCCCTTCTAATCCCAACAATTCTAGAGATTATCTGATAGGCAGGACAACAAAAATAAAACCCAAGTTGTTTCATGGAGATTATGAATGCGAAATTTACAACAGCTCATCAATCCATTATGTCAAAGGCTCTTTTTTCCCCCTAAGGTTGTCAAGGTTGCTATCCCAGATTACATTGGGGGAAAGTCAGTTTACAAAGAAAAAGAAAAAGTACACAAACTTCTACATACACCATCAACGTACATGATGCAGGATGAGCATTCGTAGAATGCAGTATGTGGCTTTAAAATATTTCACACATTGTTAAATAAAAAGTGTGTCATAAAACAAGACTGGCCTCGTATCAGGCAACCTTATGATCTCATATTCAGATTGTTCACACAGGTATGATACAGTGTCGCTTACACCCCCACAGAATTGTATTCTTACAGCTTCAATGCTTTACAGATATTCACAACAGCATACATTCAGCAGCAGCTGCTGTACCACAGATAGAGAGAAATACTCAGGAATGCAGATGTAAGACAGAGATGTTATAGAAGTCACTTCCTTCATTCAGCTGAAGGACACCCTGAGCTTCCCCTTTAACTGTTCCATATAAGACAAAGCCAAGGATGTGTAAGTGTAAGCACATCATCTAGCTAGGGATAAGGAAATACTGTCTATACGGTTGCACAGGACAAGGGAAGGATTTGTCAAACAAACACCGACCTGTTTTTCTCGTATGCCTCCATGGTGAACGGAAAAAACAAAAAAACTGGTTCTTGATGAATGGAAGGAGAGGAGGGCCGCGTTAAGGCAAAACTATATCCAAACAACTTTTCATGACATTTAAAACAGCATTTGCAAGAATTTGAGTTTCATTTCTCCAGTCGTATGCCAACATTTTTCTGAACACTCACATTTTTCATAAAACGTTACTATGTAAACACTTTGGCCTGTGAAAGTGTGATGTTTATAGGCAAGTGTTTTAAAAGTAAGATTTTAGCTTAAATGCATGTTCTTGTAAAGAACTGAGCATTTGATCAGATAAACAAAAACTATATTATCCTGCACGAGATGGTTGGAAGTTTGTAAACAAATGTGATATCATGTTGCTGTCGTTAAACGCGGCCGCCATTTAATTCAATTCATCCCAGATGTTGCCTGTTTTTTCATTCTTGGTTCACCGTGGACGCATGCAAGAATACATTAGTTTCCTTCAAGAATTCAAGTTAAAACGGGAAGAGTCATTCATATACAAATTGAGATTTTGAGCACAATGAAGAAATATCTCGTACGCCCGTCTGGTCAGCCACAAACAGAATCTTTGTTTAAATACCTTGATCCAATGTTCAGGCAGCATGTTCAGTCTTTAGTGCTGAGTCGTCAGTGTGACTGAGGGGAGGGGGAGATCTGTTCCTGCAGAAGAGTTCTTTGGTTCTGCTCGGCAGCCAGGGCCCGTAAGGTGATCCTCTGGATCTGCCTGGCCTTGTTGTACAAGAAGACCCCCAGGAACACCAGGCCGGTGCCGGCGGCGCTGAGGATGGTGATGTGGTTGCTGAACACGATGATGCTCAGCCACACCGACAGGGCATGTTTCACACTACTGGCAACACTGAGGAAGACAGGAAGGTTCAACTGTCAAAATAATCCAACTCATGTCGAGAGCATTTTTAAAGATGCTCCATCCTGCTTTATTACGCCAAAAAATGACTCGTTTACTGGAAATAGGACAGATTGCTTTAAGCAGTGTTCTACATCTGCATGTACAGCAGCAGAAGACCATGTCAGGTACCAACTAAAAAAAGATTAAGGGTACCAAACCTGAACAAGGCCTCATATTGTTGCTTTTAGCTGCATACTAAGGGTGCCCATCCGTAATGGAGCACTCGGGTTTTACAAACCTAACTGAGCCTCATTTATATTACACAACATTTATAAGCACTGTTGTTGATCATCAACCTCTAATGGCCACAAGCTCTGCTTTCTTTCAGCAGGTCAATGTTTCAAGTCATAACGTACTAATCATTTCAAGATTGGGACAGATTTCAACTTGATCAGATGTCCTGAACATTTTCTTGGTATCAATCCATCAGAGCGCCCTTAAAGGAGTAGCGCACTAATTCACATCTCACTCTTTAACTGGGTCAGAATCAAACTAAAATAATAAATAAAGAACTTGAGTTATAAGTCTACTTAACAGTGCAAACTAATGTCAAGTGGCAGAACCTGGCACCAACATTACCAACAATGCAACTTGCCCGCAGACAGTTTGGTAGGATTTAAAGAGCAACTTCCAGGTTAAAGACACCTGTGAATAAATGTGTAGGAAAATGATGAATACACTAGATTTTCCAAAAAATATACAGAAATATACACTACAGTGACATCTGGCGTCGTTTTTGTAAGAAATGTTCACTTCCGCATAAAAAAGCCTCGGCACGTGACCTCCCGCGTGTGACGTAACACGGGGGACACAAGGGGGAGAGCGGCCGGTGTAACGTATTAATTAACATGGATCCCAATGCTAGTTTCGACACAGAAGAAGTTGAACATGAATATTCGAATGCATATGACGGACCACAACCTTATAATTATGAGCCTGCTAGGCGTCCAAGAGACCAGGAGCAGCCAAGGATTAGAAGAAATAACGGCCATCGGAGAGAAATTGAGCTGTGGTGTGAGGAGAACCAGTGGAGAACTGGGCAGCTATCTTGGTGAGTGACCGGCGTTAGCTACAGAATGTTAGCTAACGTCACATCACAACATTGTGAAGTTAGCTATCATATATCAGGCTATAACTAAAGTAGCATTGATAATATAGTAACGTTACTGGCAGGACTGTTGATACTGATCCATAACAGAAACTAATGCGCAAGTATCAGCCGTATCTCGCGTTACCTAATGCAACTCCACACTACGGTGCTG